GTCAGCTTTAGACTCACTGCACCCCCTAACCTCCGCAGAGGTGGAGGACCCATTAAATTGGTCCGCCCCAGGAGGCTTATGGATCCGGATGGATTCCTGATGGCTCTTGGGGAATTCCCCGCCACCTCGGTTGGTGATCCTGTTGATGCTCTGGTCGCTCTCTGGAATGGGGAGATGACTAGGGCAATAGACACGATCGCTCCAGAACGTCCCCTCTCAAGTAGCCGAGCTAAACCAGCTCCTTGGTTTACCGAGGAGCTGGCAGCGTTGAAGCGAAAGAAGAGGGAACTAGAGAGCGTGTGGCGTTCGAATCCGAGCGAGCCAAATCGAACACAGTTTGTGTCCTTTTTAAGGGCATATGCCGCGGCAATAAAGGCCGCAAAGAAAACTTTCTTTGCGGCCACTATTGCGTCTGCAAAAAACCGTCCGGCTGAACTGTTCCGAGTTGTCAGAGGCTTATTAAAACCCACCACTCAGGATGGGTGCCCTGGACTCGGCAGCTCGCTGCGAAGCTTTTGCTCGGTTCTTCGCAGACAAAGTCGCTTTGATCCGCTCTGGCCTGGACACCATATTAACGGCAGTATCTGAGGATGTAACACGAGCATCTGCTTGTCCGGTTTTGATGGATTCATTTCAATTGGTTCAATCCGAGGATGTGGACAAGGTGCTTGGAGGAATGAGAGCTACCACATGCATCCTAGACCCCTGCCCATCCTGGCTTCTAAAGGAGGCCAGAGGGGGATTGGCCGAGTGGGTGAAGGTGGTGGTTAATGCCTCCCTTCGGGAGGGCAAAATTCCAGCCAGCTTAAAGCAAGCTGTGATAAAACCGCTGTTGAAGAAACCATCACTGGACCCCACTCAATTCGTCAACTATCGGCCTGTTTCCAATCTCCCCTTTTTGGGCAAAGTCATGGAACGTGTGGTGGCCTCACAACTCCAGGCATTCTTGGTAGACACGGATTATCTGGATCCGGCACAGTCTGGCTTTAGGCCGGGGCATGGTACCGAGACAGCCTTGGTCGCCTTAGTGGATGATCTGCGTCGGGAGCTCGACAGGGGGAGTGTGTCCCTGTTGGTGCTGCTCGACCTCTCAGCGGCCTTCGATACCGTCGACCACGGTATCCTTCTGGGACGCCTCGCGGGGATGGGTCTGGGAGGTACTGTTCTGCAGTGGCTCCACTCATTCCTCGAGGGTCGGTCTCAGAAGGTGTTACTGGGAGACTCCTGTTCAACCCCACAACCTTTGTCTTGTGGGGTTCCTCAGGGTTCAATACTGTCTCCCATGTTGTTTAACATCTACATGAAGCCGCTGGGCGAGATCATCCGGAGTTTCGGAGTGAGATGTCATCTGTACGCAGATGATGTCCAACTCTGTCACTCCTTTCCACCTGCTACTAAGGAGGCTGTCGAGGTCCTGAACCGGTGCTTGGGCGCTGTGACGGTCTGGATGAGGGCGAACAAATTGAAATTGAATCCAGACAAGACAGAGGTACTCCTGGTTAGTCGTAAGGCCGAACAGGGTATAGGGTTACAGCCTGTGTTGGATGGGGTCGCACTCCCCCTGAAGACGCAGGTTTGCAGTTTGGGTGTGATCCTGGACTCATCGCTGAGCCTGGAACCCCAGGTTTCGGCGGTGACCAGGGGAGCATTCGCACAATTAAAACTTGTGCGCCAACTGCGACCGTACCTTGGGAAGTCTGACTTAGCCACGGTAGTCCACGCTCTGGTTACATCCCGCCTTGACTACTGCAACGCTCTCTACGTGGGGTTGCCTTTGAAGACGGCCCGGAAGCTCCAACTAGTCCAACGTTCGGCAGCCTTGATACTAACAGGAGCGGAGCGCAGGGAGCACACCACTCCTCTGCTGCACCAGCTCCACTGGCTGCCGATATGCTACCGGGCTCAATTCAAAGTGCTAGAGATACGATCAGCCTCTTCGCTGATGGTGTTTCGGAAGAGATTAAAAACATGGTTGTTTAAACAAGCATTCGGTTAGTTTGTTACCACCGAATTTTATGGACTAAGGACTGGTTAATTATGGATGACGAATTCTGGACTGTGATTTTAGTGACGAGATACATGGTATTATTATTGGTGGCCCAATAATTTGTATTGTCTATGTGTTGTTGTTTTAAATTGTATATTGTTTTTAATTGTTGTAAACCGCAATGAGTCGCCGACTTAGGCTGAGATATTAGCGGTATACAAGTGTATTAAATAAATAAATAAATATTTGGGCATATGGAATATTTGTGCCAAGTTTGGTCCAGATCCATCATTGTTTGAGTCCACAGTGCTCTCTGGATGTAGGTGAACTACAACTCCCAAACTCAAGGTCAATGCCCACCAAACCCTTCTAGTGTTTTCTGTTGGTCATGGGAGTCCTGTGTGCCACGTTTGGTTCAATTCCATCATTGGTGGAGTTCAGAATGCTCTTTGATTGTAAGTAAACTATAAATCCCAGCAACTACAACTCCCAAATGACAAAATCAATTTTTTTGAGTGATGGTCATTCCTTGGGTTAGTAGGTGTCTTGTGGCCAAATTTGGGGGCAATGTGTCCAGTGGTTTTCGAGTTATGTTAATCCCACAAACAAGCATACATTTTTATTAATATAGATATATTATATACTAGCTGTACCCACAACGCGTTGCCGTGGCCAACCTTCCCTCCTTCTTTCTCTCCTTCCTTCCCGCCCTCTTTTTCCTTTCCTTGTGTCTTTCCTTCCTTCCTCTTTCTCTCTTTCGTTCCTTCTCTCTTTCCTTCCCTCTTTCACTTTTTTATTTCATTATCTCCCTCCTTCTCTCCTTCCTTCCTTCTCTACCCTTCTTTCTTTCCCTCTTTCTCTCCTTCCTTCCTTCTCTACCCTTCTTTCTTTCCTTCCTTGCCCCCCTTTCTTTCCCTTCTTCTCTCCTTCCTTTCTTCTCTACCCATCTTTCCTTCCTCCTTTCTGTGTACATGTTTTGTGTGTGTATATGCATATCTATTAGGCCTGGTTGATCAAGAAAAAATTTGTTTCTTTCTTTTCTCTCCTTCTTTCCCTTCTTCTCTCCTTCCTTCCCTCCTTCCTTCCTTCTCTCCCCCTTTCTAGTCTGTGTTTTGTGTGTGTATATGCATATATGTGTGTATATATGTGTTTGTGTGTGTATATGTGATTTTGCGCATGTGTTGTAGTGTGTTTTTGGGTTTTTTTTTTTTTTTTTTGCTTTTTAGTCCCTTCTGTTGCGTTTTTATGAGTGAAGGACATACATTGGGTTGTTAGATGTATTGTGTCCAAATTTGGTGTCAATTCGTCCAGTGGTTTTTGAGTTCTGTTAATCCCACAAACTAACATTACATTTTTATTTATATAGAGACAGACAGACAGACAGAGTAGTATCTTGTGAAACCAGTGTTGTCCATTTTCTGGGAACCATGTACCCTTAGGGGTGATGGGGAGGTGTACCTTCTCTTTCTGTCACAGAGGAGGCTATTTGAACCTCCGGAGCAATAAATTGCATTGATCCAGCTGTCTGTGTCCTTATCGCCAACTTCCTAATGCAGTTATAAAGATGTTGTGGGTAAGATGGTTCTGGGAACGGGGGCCTGGCTTGCCCAGGGCGGGCAGAAACCTTTCTGGTTTGGGTTAAACGTTTGCACTAATACGATTGTGTATGAATCTGTTCCCAATAAAATGCCACAAATGTCAATTAGAGGAGGAACGCTTCAATGTGTTTTGTCCCTTTGTTGATGCGATTTAAAATGGGGTTGGAGCACAATTTAGCCCTGGGGCAATGACATTAACTTTCTTGATGTTCGGCCGCTTCCAAACAGCAATTGGATCAAAATCCGTCACTGGATTTTTTACCCGTTGTTTGTCTCTTTCAGGCTTCTTCTGCATCTCCTGCCTTCCATCGTAACCTGCGAGTGACAATGTCCCACCATATGGGTCATAATATAACCGGCTCGGCAATGCCCACCTCCGATCCTCATGCGCACCATCACAACACAATGGCCCCAGGACATATGCACAGTGAAGGGATGGTGAGTAGGCCTCAAATCACAAGTTCACTGTCCCAAGAAGGAGAGTGCATGGCAACAATTTTTGAATGCTGTACAGGTTACAACAGGATGGGCTAAAAGTAGAGATATTCTACTGGGACTTTTTGGATAGCCCTTGAGAACTCCTCCAACTCCATGACTCTACTTAGGTCTCATAGTCTTAGGAATGTGTTCTGTCTTCTGTTAAATGCTAAAGGAAAGTGAGCGAGAGCCTCAACAAAGTGTCCTACCTTGTTCATGCCCAGCATTATTTTTTAAATTCTATTTATTTGCAGCATTTATATTCCGCCCTTCTCACCCCGCAGGGGACTCAGGGCGGATTACAGTGTACACATATATGGCAAACATTCAATGCCAATTTTGACATACAACATATACAGACATACACAGAGGGTATTTAACTTTTTCTGGCCGCCAGGGGAGCTGTCGCTTTCATCGTCCATCTGCGACACTGATGAAGTACTTCCGCATTCCCCGCATGCTTCCTCACTGGAATGCTTTGCTGGAGTCTTCTTTATGGCCTCATAAATCAGTTAATTTAGCCTCCCCACACTTTAAGGTGGTACCTTATTTTCCTACTTGACAGATGCAACTGTCTTTCGGGTTGCAAAGGTCGACAACAGGCTACACTCAATTGGTTGGAAACCCACTCCAACCCGGGCTGGCTTCGAACTCATGACCTTTTGGTCAGAGTGATCTTAATGCAGCTGACACTCAGCCAGCTGCCCCACAATCCCGTTGCGCCACAATCCTTTCATATGTGGTTTTGTACATGCGTTGTAATGTATTTTTTTTTGGCTTTTTAAAGTCTCTTCCACTGTGTTATTCAGTGTTTTTATGAGTGATGCTCACTCATTTAGCCTGATAGGTGTATTGTGTCCAAATTTTGGTGTCAATTTCACGTGATTTTTGAGTTATGTTAAGCCCACAAACAAACATTACATTTTTATTTATATAGATTATTACAGTATATCACAGCAAACGAGATCTATATGCTGGATTTCATATCACAAAATCACAAGTCATTATTATTATTATTATTTGTGTCTGGAGCAGGCAATGACCTTCTACTTTGGATATGAGAACGTGCCTTTGCTGTTTTCCGGGCTTGTCATCAACACACCTGGAGGTGAGTGAGCTTTCTGCCATTGAGATCAATCAAGTTATAATTCCATGGCTCAAACAATACAGGCTGGGAAGCTGATAGCCCTGCTTGTTGGAGAATAAATCCCATTATCATTCATTGCGGGAACCAATGAAGGTTCATGTCCAGCTCCATCTAAAGGGCCACCAGGTATCCACACCATATTGGACCATACTGATTGGGAATGGCATTTAGAAAGCACCAGGTTTCGATAGAACTGACTCAGGCTACTCTTCTCTTCTCTACTCTCAGAAATGGCAGGAGCATTTGTGGCCATCTTCCTGCTGGCCATGTTCTATGAAGGCCTCAAGATCGCCCGCGAGAGCCTCCTCCGGAAGTCGCAGGTCAGCATCCGCTACAACTCCATGCCCGTCCCGGGACCAAATGGCACTGTCTTAATGGAGACGCACAAAACCGTTGGGTGAGTAAATGCTGTGACTTATCTCTTTAATTCTCTTTAGATGTTTGTATTTTTCCTAAGCTTTGAACTATATATTGTATTGCTTTTACTGTTAGTTGCTTTGGGCCCCTTTTTGAGAGATAAGGCAGGGGAGAAAATAATAAATAATAATAGCAATAATAATAATATCCTGGTGGAGGGGACACAAACTAAGGGTAAGGGGAAGAGGGGGAAATGGTATAATAATAATTATAAAGAAATACAATATGTATAACTGGATAAAAGGTGTGTGATAGAGTTAAATGTAGCACAAGTTGTAATGGAAATTTAAAAATAATGATAAGAAATATGATTAAAGATGTTTTTGATGTTTATTTACTGTTAGGTTGCATATAATATGACATACTCTTTTGTCTAAGATACTGTAAAAAGAAAGAAGAATGTATGCTTATACATTTTGTTGGACAAATTTATAAATAAAATCCAAAATGATACCAAAAAAAGGTAATAATAATAATACATTTCCAAGCAAAATACTGCTGAATCTGAGTAACTTACGGAAATAGAAGAGAGATAATGTTTAATTAAGCGATGCGATCAAGTTTTTAATTAATTTTAACAATTTATTAAAAAATAAACTTTTAAAATTAACTGTTTATTTTTTAAATAAAATGTTAAAGTTAATTAAAAACTTGATCACATAGCTAAAAAAAAAACAGTTCACAGCACCCCCTGGGTTGGTCTTTAAAATATTTTACTTCCTTGTTCTTTCAAAATCAAAATCAATGAACCAGCGACCTTTCGGTCAGCAAGTTCAGCAGCTCAGCGGTTTAACCCACTGCCACTAGGGGCTCCATAATAATAAAAAATATCTAGTTAATATTTAATATCCCTGACAGGTTTGTTTTTTTTTTTTGCACTATCAATAAGATATGTGCACTGTGTATAGGAATCCATTCATGTTTTCTTCAAACTATAGTCTAGCTGCCCAACAGTCTGATGAACCCTGATAACTCTGTTTCCAGTGGTTCTCAACCTTCCTATTGCCACGACCCCTTAATAGAGTTCCTCATGTTGTGGTGACCCCCAACCATAAAATCATTTTCATTGCTACTTCATCACTGTCATTTTGCTACTGATATCAATTGTAATGTAAATATCTGATGTATTTTTGTTTACTGGACCAAATTTGGCACAAACACTCAAGACACCCTAGTTTGAATACTGGTGGGGTTGGAGGGGAGGGTTGATTTTGTCATTTGGGAGTTGTAGTTGCTGGGATTTATAGTTCACCTACAATCAAAAAGCATTCTGAACTCCGCCAACGATGGAATTGAACCAAACTTGGCACACAGAATTCCCATGACCTACAGAATATACTGGAAAGGTTTGGTGGGCATTGACCTTGAGTTTGGAGTTGTAGTTCACCTCCATCCAGAGAGCACTGTGGACTCAAACAGTGATGGATCTGGACCAAACTTGGCACAGATACTTAATATGCCCAAATGTGGACACTGGTGGAGTTTGGGGAAGATAAACATTGACACTTGTGAGTTGTAGTTACTGGGATGTATAGTTCACCTACAATCTAAGAGCATTCTCAACCCCAGCAAGGACATAATTGGGCCAAACTTCCCACACAGAAACCCCATGAGCATCAGAAAATACTGTGTTTTCTGATGGTCTTTGGCGACCCCTCTGACACCCCCTCGCGACTCCTCCAGGGGTCCCGACCCCCAGGTTGAGAAACACTGGTTTAAACATTTTGAAGACCCCCGCTCTAACCTTATTTCCTCGATAGCTTTATTCCTAATATATATATTGATGCTTTCTTTTTCCCGGCTTCATTAGGCAACAAATGCTGAGCCTCCCGCACCTTTTCCAGACGGCCCTTCACGTCATCCAAGTGGTGGTCAGCTACTTCCTCATGCTCATCTTCATGACCTACAATGGCTACCTCTGCATTGCTGTAGCCGGAGGCGCCGGGACTGGCTACTTCTTCTTTAGCTGGAAGAAGGCGGTGGTGGTAGACATCACTGAGCATTGCCATTAACACCAGCCAGCCACGCAGCTTCTGGACAGGACCAGGTTGACTGGAAACATGCCAACGAACCGTATGGGGTGCCCTCCCATCAATGCCTGCGCCATTCGGTCGCTCTTTTCCCCTGCATCTTCCCTCTTGAGTGGCTGGAAGAGAGCTGACAACTGGCTAGGCCCGTTTCCTTCGGATTTTAATGGCTTATATAATAGAAACAATTAGTGGTTTTGATCTTCTTCTTTTTTAAAGACTGTCTTATGATTGAAAGTAACTGATTCCATGTTCTCCCTGTAATGTTTTTAAACCGACAGCGTTTGGATTTGGTGGGAATCGAATGAAAGATGGCATCAAATCCAAAGTAGCTGACTGTCCCAAGGATTTGGTGAGAATTGAGTGGAATTGTCACCGAGAAATCCAAAGATGTAAACAATGAGCAAGTTAATGCCATTGGTTCCGAGGTTTTTAGGCCGCTTGGTTTCTCCGCTTTGACTTCCTCGTTCTTTCTAAACCGTATCTGTTTTTGTCTTCTGCCCAAATTAATAAATGGCCGCAGACAATCTGACAATAATGGCACTTGATGCGAATTGTCCATCGCCACTTAATTGTGAATGTGTAAAATGTATGCAAATCATTTTTTAAAACGTATCAAGCATCTTTTAAATAAATGGATGGAACAAACGCTGGCTTCAGTGACTCGAAAGTTGACAATTAGTTATAAAACGATCCAAATTGCCCTTAGTCTAGAACTACCTCAAATAAGATTGAGATGAATGACCTGAAGCTGTGAGCTGTCTCTCACATTTGGGATTTTACGCTTCTATGGCAGCAGCCTACATTATTTAGACCGTGCAGGCAAAGATTGCTACTCAACCTGCTGTTTCAGGACACAAGGATGCTTTCGATAAGACCAGTGTTTTGCAACCTGGGGGTTGGGACCCCTTGGGGGGACGTGAGGGGGTGTCAGAGGGGTGTCACATAATTTTCTGTTGGTCATGGGGCTTCTGTGTGGGCAGTTTGACCCAATTCTAACATTGGTGGCATTCAGAATCTCTTTGTGGGTGAACTATAAATCCCAGCAACGACAACTCCCAAATGTGAAGGTCTATTTCCTCCAAACTCTACCAGTGTTCACATTTGGGCATATTGAGGATTCGTGTTAAGTTTGGCCCAGATCCAAGCCACACCTTGAAACTAATGGGCCATTAAATGCTAATCAAGGTGCTAATTGAAACACACCCACCTCCAACAGACAAGAGTTCTTTTGTCCCACCCTGGACATTCCACAGATATATAACCCACTTGCCTAGTTTCCAACAGTCCTCTCAACCTCTGAGGATGCTTGCCATAGATGTGGGTGAAATGTCAGGAGAATGCTTCTGGAACATGGCCATACAGCCCATAAAACTCACTGCAACCCAATATTAGTTTTAAGAAAACACAGTAATGTCCCTCCTCTATAGCCCTAACCGTGAGAAAAAGAAACATTGAATGTGGAAACCTTGAGGAAACACTACAAAGGTAGAAGTTCTGAGCTATGACTTGGTTCATATCCTTCAGGGTCACCTGAAGAGAGAAATCAAAACCATTTAAATCAAATCCGCAAATATGGAGGACAGACTGAATTCCTCCCAGAGTTTTCCCCAGCTCTTACAAAGGACTTTTTTCACAGTCCTTTGGCGAAAGGGAAGTAAACACTGCCTTTTCTTTCTTGCCAAGCATACAAGTAGCAGCGGGATTGTCTCAGCAACAGATTTCCTTGCTGCTGAATTGTTCGCAAAGGTGCTATGGCGCATCTCTTATGGGATGCACTATTATTCCAAACTGGTACTGCATATTGCCACTGGCCACCAAACACATGTCAAGGGTATGCAAAGAAGTTTGCGAGGTTCAATTGTTGCCATTTAGGGCATTTCAGTTTTGCAAGGGGAGGCATACAGAAACATAACTTCCCTCTATCGTCTAGTTATATCGAGCCGCATTCGTATTAGCTGATACAATTTGTGTTGCCAGTGCTTTCCCCCACTGTATTCAAGAAAGAAAAAGGTGCCTTTTCTATGTTTCTAGCATTGTGCCTCGCTGGATGTACATATCTATTAAATCCATAGTGGAAATTGCCCACCTGATACTATTATGTAAGTACGGATTATCAGTCTGTATGTAATTAATAAAGCAGAATGTATCTTACAGGTATGTCGTGTGTTTGATTTGTAAAAGCTGCTCTCTGTTACACCACTAGGCAATCCCAGCATGCATCTCCACTGTTAAATTAGTCCGAAAATATATGGAAGATATGTATATGACAAGTATGTGTCTGTGTATATATGTAAAGGGGGGAAGGAAGGAAAGAGAAGGAATGAAGGATGAAGGAAAGAAAAAAGAAGGAAGGAAAGAGCAGAGGAAGGAGGGAAAGAAGGAAAGAGGGAGGGAAGGAAAGAGAGAAGGAAGGATGGAAGCAAAAAGCGTGAAGGAAGGAAGGAGATAGAGAAGGAAGAAAGGAGAGAAAGAGGAAGGAAAAGGAAAAGGGGGAAGAAAGGAAGAGAAGGAAAGGAAAGGGGAGGAAGGAAAAAAGGGAAGGAAAAAGGAAGAAAGAAGGAAGAAAAGGGGAAGGAAGGAAGGAGAGGAAGAAGGAAGGAAGGAAGGAGGGAAAGAAAAAAGAAGGAAGGAAAGAGCAGATGAAGGAGGGAAAGAAGGAAAGAGGGAAGGAAAGAGAGAAGGAAGGATGGAAGCAAAAAGTGTGAAGGAAGGAAGGAGATAGAGAAGGAAGAAAGGAGAGAAAGAGGAAGGAAAAGAGGGAAGGAAGAGAAGGAAAGGGAAAGGGGAGAAGAAAGAAGAAAAGAGGGAGGGAAGGAAAAGAGAAGGAGGATGGAAGCAAAAAGCGAAGGAAGAAGGAAGGAAAGGGAGAGATTTGTTTCATTTACACAAGCAAGAACGGAGAGTTTCAATGAAATGCTCCCTGCTAAAGAAGACTATGAGACATTTCCGTGCACTGTTTTTGCACTTAAGTATGTACTTAGTATAAACCAAGTTTTTCAGCCCTTTTTTAGGCTGAAAAAGCTCCCCTCAACTTATACTCAAATCAAAGTTATTTATCATTTTACTCTGTTATTATTATTATTATTTCATTTATTATTTTACTCTATTATTATATGTATTATTTTACTCTTTTTATTATTTTTATTATTACATGTATTATTTTACTCTATTTATTATTGTTACATTTAGTGTTGGACTGGATGGCCCATGAGTTCTCTTCCAACTCTTTGATTCTATGATTCTATGAAATAATCATTTAATCAGAGTTGGACAGTCTTATCTTAAATTACCATTTTTGTAAGTATTCAAAAATATATAACTTACTGGTTCCTCAATTAATGTAATTTAATTGGTATCATTTTTATTTTGCAATTTACTCGTAGCGGCTGCATTTCCCACCCTCGGCTTATACTCGAGTCAACCCGTTTTCTCAGTTTTTTTGCGGTAAAATTAGGTGCCTCGGCTTATATTCGGGTCGGCTTATACTTGAGTATATACGGTATATATGTTTATGTATATACACAAACATATATGTTTCTATTTAGGTTACTGACCAAAGTTATGTGGTACTTATTGGCCAATGGGCTTTCAAATCCTGACTTCAAACGTGACTGATTGGGTCTTATTATCTCACCTCTTCCTAAAATGCAAACTCTATAGGGATAAAAAAGCAGACACATACATTTATTGAGGAAAGTTAAAAAATTCCATAAGTGGAACAAAGATCTCACAGGTTTTGGGAGAAGAGTCCAGTCTTCGGTTTGTCTAAAATCCATTCCCCTTGGCTGTTTTCTTTAAGTAATCCTCTTTTTTGCTCTAGTGTCATGGAAGTCAGCAGAGGAAAGACCCTAGAACTCAAAGTTGCCAAACTGAGAGGAGCGATTGTTGGGTTTGGGCTGGGGCTTGTAGCCGATCCGGTCGTGGATCATCTGTTCTCGGCTCTTGTGGTCGATGTTCAATCCCAGCGCGCCTTCGCCATCGCTGGCTCCCACCACATCCACTTCTTCCCGCTGCTTCTTGCAACTCTGAAAAGGCAAAACGGAAACACAACAAAAAATTAAACACGGAATTACACCGTCGCCAAGTTACAAACAAGTTAGGTTCTGTAGGTTTGTTCTTAAGCTGCATTTGACCTTTAAAGCCCAACATGGTTTGGGTCCAGGTTATTTATTTATTTATGATATGTGTGTGTGTGTGTGTGTGTGTGTGTGTGTGTGTGCGTGTAAGAACACTTTGTTTATATCCTGCCACCATCTCCCCAAAGGGGACTCAGGGCAGTTAACATGAGGCCAAGCCTAAAAACAATACAACAAAGTTAGACACAAAATAACAGAATAATTACATCACAATAAAATACATGAAGTAAAAAAATTAAAGGCATTATTTAAAAAATGATTTTGTCATTTGGTTGTAGTTGCTGGGATTTATAGTTCACCTACAATCAAAGAGCTTTCTGAACTCCACCAATGATGGAATCAAATCAAACTTGGCATACAGAACTCCCATGACCAACAGAAAATACAGAAAGGGTTTGGTGGGCAATTGACCTTGAGTTTTAGAGTTGTAGTTCACCTACATCCAGAGATCACTGTTGACTCAAACAATGATGAATCTAGACCAAACTTGGCACAAATACTCAATATGCCAAAATATGAACACAGATTGAGTTTGGGGGAAATAGACCTTGACATTTGGGAGTTGTAGTTACTGGGATTTATAGTTCACCTACAATCAAAGAGCATTCTGAACTCCACCAATGATGGAATTGAACCAAACATGGCATACAGGACTTCCATGACCAACAGAACAAACTGGAAGGGTTTGGTGGGCATTGACCTTGAGTTTGGGAGTTGTAGTTCACCTACATCCAGAGAGCACTGTGGACTCAAACAATGATGGATCTGGACCAAACTTTACACAAAATTCCATATGCCTAAATATGAACACAGATGGAGTTTGGAGGAAATAGACCTTGACATTTGGGATTTGTAGTTACTGGGATTTATAGTTCACTACAATTAAAGAGCATTCTGAAACCCACAAACGACAGAAATGGGGCAAATTTCCCACGCTGAACCCCATCACCAACAGAAAATACTTAAGACCATCCAGTCCAACTCTCTTCATCAGGGCAAGAAAATCTAATCAAAGCCCTCCTGACAAAGAGCCATCCAGCCATAGATATACATAGATATATATGATTCACACACACACACAGATATAATATCATAGATTTGAAAGGGACCCCTAAAAAAGGACAATGATATAGTGCATTCAACAGACTGGTTCAAGATTGGGAAAGGCGTATGGCAAGGCTGCATCCTCTCACCCAACCTTTTTAACTTGTTTGCAGAACACATCATGCAATGTGCAGGGCTTGATGAATGCAAGGCTGGGGTGAAAATTGCTGGAAGAAACATTAACAACCTCAGATATGCAGATGACACCACTCTGATGGCCGAAAGCGAGGAGGAGCTGAGGAGCCTTCTAATCAAGGTGAAAGAAGAAAGCGCAAAAGCCGGGTTGCAGCTAAACGTCAAAAAAATCAAGATTATGGCAACAAGAATGATTGACAACTGGAAAATAGAGGGAGAAACCGTGGAGGCCGTGACAGACTTTGTATTTCTAGGTGCAAAGATTACTGCAGATGCAGACTGTGGCCAGGAAATCAGAAGACGCTTACTTCTTGGGAGGAGAGCAATGTCCAGTCTCGATAAAATAGTAAAGAGTAGAGACATCAGACTGGCAACAAAGATCCATTTCCTAGTCAAAGCCATGGTATTCCCTGTAGTCACCTACGGATGTGAGAGCTGGACCTTAGGGAAGGCTGAGCGAAGGAAGATCGATGCTTTTGAGCTGTGGTGTTGGAGGAAAGTTCTGAGAGTGCCTTGGACTGCGAGAAGATCCAACCAGTCCATCCTCCAGGAAATAAAGCCCGACTGCTCACTGGAAGGAAGGATACTAGAGACAAAGTTGAAGTACTTTGGCCACATCATGAGGAGACAGCAAAGCCTAGAGAAGACAATTATGCTGGGGAAAGTGGAAGGCAAAAGGAAGAGGGGCCGACCAAGGGCAAGATGGATGGATGGCATCCTTGAAGTGACTGGACTGACCTTGAAGGAGCTGGGGGTGGTGACGGCCGACAGGGAGCTCTGGCGTGGGCTGGTCCATGAGGTCACGACGAGTCGGAGACGACTGAACGAATGAACAACACATAGTGCATATTCCAGAGTAGGCAAACCAGACACTCTCCACATCAACACTGACAAAGAGACAACAAGAAATACTGTTTACCCACAAGCATAAAGGAATTACATAGATTAGAAACCATTACTTTATTTTTCCAGATCACCAGACTGGGCCACAGCAACGTGTGGCAGGGGACAGCTAGTAGTGAATAAATATGATTCAACTATGGGCTCATATATTTTATAGGAGGAGCTGCTCTAGTTGAAGGAACTGAAGGAGAAGTGCCTCTGAGCATGCACAGAGTGCCCCCAAAGGGGACTTTCAAAGCAAATGGGGCAACAAAACCTTCTTAAGCTGGTTATACGCCCTTTCCTTCCAACTACCCACCTCCAGCTCCTTTCTGGCCCCTTCAAATTCCTCAATATCGTCCAGCTTGAGCTCCAAACGCGTTGGCTTCCGACGTAGCATCTTTAGGACCAAACGAGGACCCGTTGCTCGTCCACGCATGCGCAGTGATTACAGCCGAGCCAGACATCCCGTGTGCGCATGCGTCTCGCCGGATGAGCCTCTCCGTGATCGAACGTGATTGGCTGAGCCTCTCCCTCCTTGAAGCCGCATCCGCCGGAAGTCGCCATTAGTAATGATGGCTGCCTCGAGAAGCTTAGCGGTAAGGGAGACAACTCATGACATTATATTATTTTCGGGAAAAGACCGATGTATACAATTAAAACATGTAAATAGAACTCCATACTGCCCACCACCCAAGTGAAGGCTTTCAGTCAGGGACAACATCCTAGATTTCATGTGTTTCCTCCACCACAGGCATCCCAGTGTTCCTGACTCTCTCCATTGGTGTGGAATTTGCATGACAATATAGTAATACAATATAGTAATTGTATATTCTGTATTATATGTAATATTACTAATAATATCGCAGCATAGTGGTATAGTACAATATAGTAAATATATGATACCAATATTGTGCTATGCTAATAATGTGATTGGCCAATTGTATTAGTATTGGCATTATATTGTATTACATGATGATGTTATGATCAATATTATATGTACATAATACATTTTATGTACATATAATATTGATCATAATATGATCTTGTAATACAATATAATACCAATAATAATACCAAACATAATACATTGTATGTACATATAATGTTGATCATAATATCATCATGCAATACAATATAATGGCAATAATAATACAATATAATGGGTTGTTGTAGGTTTTTTCAGGCTATATGGCCATGTTCTGGAGGCATTTTCTCCTGACATTTTGCCTGCATCTATGACAAGTGGAAGTGAGGTCTGTTGGAACTAGGAAAATGGGTTTATAAATCTGTGGAATGACCAGGGTGGGACAAAGAACTCTGGTCTGTTGGAGCTAGGTGTGAATGTTTCAACTGACCACCTTGATTAGCATTTGATGGCCTGACAGTGCCTGGGGCAATCTTTTGTTGAGAGGTGATTAGATGTTCCTAATTTTTTCCCCTCTGTTGTTTTTCTGATGTAATTTTAGAGTTTTTTTTAATACTGGTAGCCAGATTTTGTTCATTTTCATGGTTTCCTCCTTTCTGTTGAAATTGTCCACAAATCAATGGCTTTTCTGTTTAGTCTGACATGGTGGTTGTGAGAGTGGTCCAGCATTTCTGTGTTCTCAAATAATCTGCTATGTCCAGGTTGGTTCATCAGGTGCTCTGCTATGGCTGACTTCTCTGGTTGAAGCAGTCTGTACTCCACCTCAGACATCAGAAGAGCTGCAAGACCGAGAACAAGCCACAAGAATAAAGAAGATCCACCCAGAGGAAAAGTGTTCTTGCCATACATCAAGGGAACCACTGACCGCATAGGGAAGCTGATGAGGAAACACAACATACAAACTATCTACAGACCCACCAAGAAAATCCAACAAATGCTACGTTCAGCAAAGGACAAGAGGGATCCTCTCACTTCTGCAGGAGTCTACCGTACCATGCAGCTGTGGACAAGTCTACATAGGGACCACCAAACGCAGCATTGCCCAAACACGAATCAAGGAACATGAAAGGCACTGCAGACTACTTCAACCAGAGAAATCAGCCATAGCAGAGCACCTGATGAACCAACCTGGACACATCATTTTATTTGAGAACACAGAAATGCTGGACCACTCTCACAACCACCATGTCAGACTACACAGAGAAGCCATTGAAATCCACAAGCATGTGGACAATTTCAACAGAAAGGAGGAAACCATGAAAATGAACAAAATCTGGCTACCAGTATTAAAAAAAACTCTAAAATTACAACAGCAAAACAACAGAGAGAAAACAATCAGGGACATCTAATCACCTCTCAACAAAAGATTGCCCCAGGCACTGCCAGGCCATCAAATGCTAATCAAGGTAGTCAGTTGAAACATTCACACCTAGCTCCAACAGACAAGAGTCCTTTGTCCCACCCTGGTCATTCCACAGATATATATAAACCCATTTTCCTAGTTCCAACAGACCTCACTACCTCTGAGGATGCTTGCCATAGATGCAGGCGAAATGTCAGGAGAAAATGCCTCTAGACATGGCCATATAGCCCGAAAAAACCTACAACAACCCATTATATTGTATTACATGATGATATTATGATCAATATTATATTTACATAAAATGTATTATATTATTAGCATAGCAGAACATTGGGCATTGACCTTAAGTTTGGGATATGTAGTTCACCTACATCCAGAGATCACTGTGGACTCAAACAATGATGGATCTGGACCAAACGCTACACGAATACTCAATATGCCCAAATGTGAACACTGGTGGAGTTTGGGGAAAATAGAATATTGACATTTGGGAGTTGTAGTTGCTGGGATTTATAGTTCACCTACAATCACAGAGCATTCTGAATTCCACCAATGATAGAATTGGGCCAAACCTCCCACACAAAATCCCCATGTGGGCCACGGCTAGTGAATAATATAATAATTTGCTCCAGTTTGCTCCAATAAGCTTTGTCAGTGAACCTCACCTTATTCTCCTATAGGTTTGAGTGGATATATTATAGGATTTGTAGTATTGTTGGCTGCTTTGGGTATATTGTAAGAGAGATAAAGAGGGATATTATTAATATTGTTATACATTTGGCCCACCCTCTGTGTCTGGTTTTACTATGCTGTTTTATATTGTTGATTTTGTTATTTTATATTTTGTTATGATGTATTTTGTTATTGTGTGTTTATTATGTTGTATTATTTTGGGCTTGGCCTCATGTTAGCCGCACCGAGATGGTAGCGGGTTATAAATAAAGTGTATTATTATTATTATTATTATTATTATTATTATTATCTCTGATTAGCATTGGCAGTGATCCTCACTTTATCCTCCTTGCAGTTGGGAAAGACAAAGGCCTCTGACGAAGGCAATGGTCCTCCGGCCAAGAAAGGCCCCATTTTTTATGGGAGCCTGGAGGAGAAGGAGCGCGAGCGTCTCCTCAAGGGAGAGTCTGGGATGCTGGGCAAAGATGCCGTCAAAGCAGCGATTGAGGCCGGCAACATCAACGTCACCAGCGGTAAGAACCACAGTCAGTCCAAGCCTTCCTATTTATTTATTTATTTATCGTGTCAGAAGCGAGTTGAAGATAGAGTTGTAATGTATTTTTAAAAACACAGAGTTAAAAACTTGGCATTCTATTAAATGTCCCTTTGACCAGTAGCTGGCACTTGGAGTGCCTCTGGTGTTGCTATAAGGAGGTCCTCCATTGTGCATGTGGCAGGGCTCAGGTTGCATTGTAGTAAGTGGTCTGTGTTGCTCTTCTCCACACTTGCATGTTGCGGATTCCACTTTGTGGCCCCATTTCTTAAGGTTGGCTCTGCATCTCGTGGTGCCAGAGCGCAGTCTGTTCAGTGCCTTCCAAGTCGCTCAGTCTTCTATGTGCCCAGGGGGGAGTCTCTCATTCGGTATCACGAGGGGAGTTTCTTCCACATGTGGTGGACTTGTGAACAAGTACAAAAATATTGGAAGCTCATACACGAGGAAACCCCCCAAAAATTAGAAATTAGATTTGTTAAAAAACCAGAGTACTATCTTCTAGGTATCACCGACTCGGACTTAATTTTAGACAAGTATAAAGATGTTCTCTTTACTTATATGGCCACAGCAGAAAGAATAGTACTTGCGAGATTGTGGAAAACTGCTAAGATCCCCGACGTTGAAGACTGGATGGACAAATTAATGGAAGTTAAAGATATGGACACATTAACTTTTTTTTTGAAGGCCAACTCAGGCCCCCCAATAAAAAGGACAAATTGGACACTTTTCAAAGAATACGAAAAAGTTAAGAGACAAGGAGGATAAATATAATAGTCATATTTTTTTTCTTTTGAATTAGATATAGATAGATTTATGTTGATATAACAAACTGATTCTCCACTCCCATGGCAGAGAGAGATAGTAAATGAACGTATAGAGTAGTACTAAATAGTAATAACGTAAACAGGAAGATAGTTTTAACTATTTTGAAGAAGAACAATAGCAAAAGCACAGAATGGAGGTCAACATTTTTTAAATATATTTTTTTCTCTCTCTCTTTTTTTGTTTTTATATTTTCTCTTTTCCTACTTTTCTCTTATACCAATTGTTCTCCCACTTTACATGTTCTTATCTTTATATATATATTGTTCATGTTCATTCGTTCAGTCGTCTCCAACTCTTCGTGACCTCATGGACCAGCCCACGCCAGAGCTCCCTGTTGGCCGTCACCATCCCCCAGCTCCTTCAAGGTCAAGCCAGTCACTTCAAGGATGCCATCCATCCATCTTGCCCTTGGTCGGCCCCTCTTCCTTTTGCCTTCCACTTTCCCCAGCATAATATAAATATAAATATAATACAATATAAATTTCTCATGCTATATTATGTCACTCTAATTTTGATGTATGCTTAATAAAAATTGATTAAAAGTCTCATTCGGTATCAGCCATAGCTTGAGGTTCTGGGTTTTCGCCTGCCACTTTTGGACACTAGCTTGCTGAGGTGTTCCTGCAAGTATCTCTGTAGAAAGGCATTGGCATGCTAGCTGATAAAATCCGGCTGTGTGAAAGGTGTCTTAAGAGAAAGGGGTGCAATACAATTCAGGCTTCCCATATGTCCAGAGATAAGGAATTTGATTGCTGACCTGAGTTCTAGTCTGGATAGAATTTGTTCATCCCAGTTCTGTCATTTACCGAATTGTTGCTTTTGTCACCCGCGAAAGGGCTGGAATACTTCTCTTGTTGTTGTTACTGGAACCTCTCATCTTTCTTTTTTGTATGATCAGGTGAAGTTTTTGACCTGGAAGACCACATCAGTGAGCGCCAGGCGGAAGTCCTGGCTGAATTTGAGCGCCGGAAGCGGGCCAGGCAAATCAATGTCTCCACAGACGATTCGGAGGTCAAGGCCTGCTTACGAGCTCTTGGGGAGCCCATCACCCTGTTTGGCGAAGGGCCTGCGGAAAGGAGAGAGAGGTGGGAGAGAGAACATGTATTTGTCTTAAGAGTCTTGGCTTACCTTCTAGACTGGATTCATTTACTGTTGAATCCCTTTCTTGGCAGACTACGAAATATCCTCTCGGTAGTTGGCACAGATGCGTTGAAGAAAACCAAAAAGGACGACGAGAAATCAAAGAAGACGAAAGAGGAAGTGAGTGTGAAATTACCGCTGTCCTTATTTACAGTTGAAATGGACACTCATACAGTGGAAACGCTTCTTAAGAGCATCTCAACTTAAGAATATTTTGAACCCAAGTTTTGCTTTGACATACGAGCAGCATTTTGAGTTAAGAGCGAGTGCCAGGAGGAGCCTCGGTGTGATAATCCAGGGCTTTAGGGCTTCAAGGGAGCAGCCTCCATGCCTTGTGCTCATGTCTGCTTTGGGAGATTGCTGTCCACTTTGTTCTTGTCTGCTTTGAAGAATTTTGGGTTAGTTGATTTTGTGTGCTTTGTCTATCTCTCTCAGTACCAGCAAACTTGGTACCATGAAGGACCAAACACATTGAAGACTGCCAGAATATGGATCGCCAACTACTCACTCCCTCGGTAAGGAAATAGCCTTATTTACTTACTTACTTAAGCAATCCCTCGCAGCCCAAGGATGGTGGTCCTCCAAGTGTAGAGTCTTGGTGATGGATACATAGGTGGCTGTGGAGCCCTGTTCTTGATCCACACATTCTTCCATAGCGAGGACATTAATTTCCAGGTGGAAGGTGTTTCCAGTCAGGGTTGGCTTGACATGCCTTCTTCCTCTTGGCACGTTTCTCCCTTTCACTCTCCATTCGTGCCTCTTCGAATTCTGCAGCACTGCTGGTCACAGCTGACCTCCAGTTAGAGTGCTCAAGAGTCAGGGCTTCCCAGTTCTTGGTGTCTATGCTCGGGCATTCATACAATGTGGCCAGTTCAGTGGAACTGATGGTGTAGGAGCATCGCTTCAGTGCTGGTGGTCTTTGCTTCTCCCAGCACACTGACATTTGTCCGCTTGTCTTCCCAAAAGGTTTGTAGGATTTTCCAGAGGCAGCGCTGATGTAATCATTCCAAGAGTTGCATGTGATGTCTGTAGACTGTTCACGTCTCGCAGGAGTATAGCAGGGTTGGGAGGATAATAGCTTTATAAACAAGCACCTTGGTATCCCTATGGATGTCCTGGTCCTCAAACACTCTCTGCTTCATTCAGAAAAATGCTGCACTCGTAGAGCTCAGGCGGTGTTGAATTTATTATTATTATGGCTGGATGGCCATCTGTCAGATTTCCTGATCCCCAGACACTCTCAGGATGTTTCTACATTGAAGGATGTTTCTACATTGGGATGGGAAGAGAAAGGCTTCAGTCTTGTTTCAAATGGCAACCTGTGTCTGGTTGTGAATAATAAATAATAATAAAACTTTATTGATATACCGCTCCATCTCCCCGAGGGGACTCAGAGCGCTTCCCAGGTAACATCACAAAACATACAAAGTAAAAAACAACATAACCATAAGATTAACAAAACAAAAAATAAGCATAAAAATTGTCTCCATAACACACATATATTAAAAGTAATCCTGCCTGTTCAAGGCAATTAAAAAATTTAAAAGGCCGGGCCAAGATTTGTGCAAGCCCAAAAATTCTAGGTGGCCCGGGAATTAAGTGCAATGCTATGGCAGGCAACAATAATATTAGATACGGGTCTGTGGCTGTTCATTCCGGGGCCGATTAGAGGAAATGATCTGGGTAATTGGTAGGAAGAATAAGGCCGTATTCGACAATGTGTAGGGCTGAGTTAGAACTGGTCATTTTCAAAGGCTTGTTGAAACCACCAGGTCTTCAAGCTCTTACGAAAGGAAGGAGAGGGATGGAGTCTGTCTTATTTCCCTTGTAAGGTTCCAGAGACGGGGGGCCACCACTGAGAAGGCCCTCTCTCTCGTCCCCACCAACCGCGCTTGAGACAGTAGTGGGACCGAGAGGAGGGCCTCCCCGGAAGATCTTAGAGCTCACGCCGGTTCATAGATGCGATCATGGAGATAGGCGGGGCCCGAACCATTTAGGGCTTTATAGGTCATGACCTGCACCTTGAATTTGGCTCGGCAACTTATCGGCAGCCAATGAAGCTGTTTTAATAGGGGTGTTGTATGCTCCCTATAGTTTGCTCCAGTAAGGAGCCTGGCTGCTGCCCGCTGTACCAGATCAAACTTCCGGGCCGTCTTCAAGGGCAGCCCCACGTAGAGCGCATTGCAATACTCCAGTTTGGATGTAACCAAGGCGACTGGGGTGAGTCTACATTGTAGAATGAATGCAGTTTGTTCCCACTTGAACCGTCATGGGAATTGAACTTTGATGAGGCAACTGGACTAAAAGGCTAAAGTAAAATAACAACTCTCAGGATTCCATAGCATTGAGCCATGACAGTTCAAGTGGGATCAAACTGCATTCATTCTACAGTGCCGCCTTGTTCTGCTTCATGCTACAAGACCTTCATGTGTCTGTCTTTATTCCTTGCCAGGGCGATGAAGCGACTGGAGGAAGCCCGGTTGATGAAGGACATCCCCGAGGCCACGCGAACATCCCAGAAACAAGAGCTGCACAAATCTCTCAGGGTAAATAGAAGGATATCTCTGCCATGACAAGTATCCCAGGCACAGGATTATGGCAACACAAAGCCACCAGAGACTTCAGGCTTTCTCAACCTGGGGGTCGGAGCCCCTGGGGGTGTTGCGAAGGGGGTTTCAGAGGGGTCGCCAAAAACCATCAGGAAACACAGTATTTTTTGGGACATAGAGAGGTTTCTGAGAATTCAAGTCTACACTCTGGAGCAGGACGGGCAAACCTTTGATTGTAAATATTTTGCAATCTCAGCTCCTTTTTTTCAACCCTTCCGATGCCCAACGGTGTTTTCCTTCCATTATTTTCCCCTTTTCAGTCTTTGAACAACTTCTGCAGCCAGATCGGAGACGACCGGCCCATCTCGTACTGCCACTTCAGCCCGAATTCGAAGCTCCTGGCTACGGCCTGTTGGTAAAGGGATCCTTTTGTATTGCTTATCCCCTCCCCCTAAAAAAATTTCCATCCTGCTCACTCTTTCACCTTGTGCGCAGCTTGTGCGTAAGGAAAACTGTTTTGTGAGGAGGGAAATGTTCACAACTCCGTCCTTTTTCCACCCCCAGGAGCGGCCTCTGCAAACTATGGTCGGTGCCGGATTGCAATCTCGTCCACACTTTACGAGGTAGAGTGGCTTCTTCTATCCCTTGCTTTCCTCTACTTTTAGTTAAGCCAGTGTTTCTCAACCTGGGGGTCGGGACCCCTTGGGGGGGGTCGCGAGAGGGTATCAGAAGGGTCACCAAAGACCATCAGGAAACACAGTATTTTCTCTGGGTCATCGGAGTTCTATGTGGGAAGTCTGTCCCAATTTTATTGTTGGGGTTCAGAATGCTCTTTGATTGTCAAGCTCTATTTCCACCAATCTCCATCAGTGTTCACATTGGGGCATATTGAGTATCTATGCCAAATTTGATCCAGATCCATCATTGAGTCTACAGTGCTCTCTGAATGTTGGTGAACTACAACTCCCAAACTCAAGGTCAATGCCCACCAAACCCTTCCAGTATTTTCTGTTCGTCATGGGAGTTCTGTGTGCCTAGTTTGGTTCAGTTCCATCGTTGGTGGAGTTCAGAATGCTCTTTGATTGTAGGTGAACTATTAATCCCAGCAACTACAACTCCCAAATGACAAAATCAATCCTTCCCCCCCCCCCCAAAAAAAAACAAAACAACACACAACAGTATTCAGATTTGGGTGTACCGAGGTCCAGTGGATGAAAATACATCCTGCATATCAGATATTTACATGATGATTCATAACAGTTGCAAAATGACAGTTATGAAGTAGCAACGAAAATAATGTGATGGTTGGGGGTCACCACAACAGAAGGAACTGTATTAAGGGGTTGCGACATTAGGAAGGTTGAGAAACACTGCGTTTCTGATTCTGAGAATGGAACTTGGTTGCTTTCTCTTTTCCTTTGATTGCTGGGCTTTGTTGAAGGGCTGTTCTTCTCCCCAAGGGCACAACACCAATGTGGGGGCCATTGTCTTCCACCCCAAGGCAACCATCTCCCTGGACAAGAAGGATGTGAACTTGGCCTCCTGCGCAGCGGACGGCTCTGTCAAGCTCTGGAGTCTCGAAAGGTAGGCCCATTCCCTCCAAAGCAATGAATTCCTACCTTATTCTACCTTCCTACCCTTTGTGCAATGAATTCCTACCTTATACCTTATATTTTACGCTGCCCTATCTCCCAGTGTTTTAAAATGTTAATCTTTGAATTAACCCTGCCCACTGTGATCATTTTTACTGGTTCAATGTTTTGATTTTATATTGTTGTGGTGCTTATTTACATTGCTTTTGTATTTTATGTTATTTTATTTTCTGATTTTCTGTTGTGTTATATTGTGTTTTCTGCATTGCTGGGCATGGCCTCATGTAAGCCGCCCCGAGTCCCCTTTGGGGGTATAAATAAAGTTTATTATTATTATTATTATAAGTTTATTATTATTAAAGCGCAAAGGTGTTTATATTCTGTTGGCCAAGATGGGGACTCAGAGTGCATCTACACCAGTTTTGGGCAAATTTGTCTCCTGTTCTATTCTAATAATATAATATAATATAATATAATATAATATAATATAATATAATATAATATAATATAATATAATATAATATAATATAATATAATATAAATAATAATAAAACTTTATTTATCTCCCTGAAGGCTCTCAGGGCAGATTCCAATCATAAAAAGAATAATAATAATAATAATAATAATAATAATATGATATTATAATTATATATTTATATTACATGTAATATAATATAATATATTGTATAGGTAAAGGTAAAGGTAGTCCCCTGACATTAAGTCCAGTCATGTCTGACTCTGGGGTGTGGTGCTCATCTCCATTTCTAAGCCGAAGAGCCAGCGTTGTCCGTAGACACCTCCAAGGTCATGTGGCCGGCATGACTGCATGGCGCGCCGTTACCTTCCCGCCGGAGCGGTACCTATTGATCTACTCACATTTGCATGTTTTCGAACTGCTAGGTTGGCAGAAGCTAGGGCTGACAGCGGAAGCTCACGCCGCTCCCCGGAATCGAACCTGCGACCTTTCGATCAACAAGCTCAGCAGCTCAGTGCTTTAACCCACTGTGCCACCGGGGGCTCCCAATATATTGTATATACATAATATTTATAGTATTATAAGGTAATGCAATATAATAATAATATTATAATTATATATTTATATTACATGTAATATAATATAATATAATATAATATAATATATATACATGGAATATTTATAGTATTATAATGTAATGCAATATAATAATAATAATATGATATGATAATTATATATTTATATTACATGTAATATCATATATTGTATATACATATAATATTTATAGTATTATAATGTAATGCAATATAATAATAATAATATGGTATTATAATTATATATTTATATTACATGTAATATTACTAATAATATTACGATATAGTGGTATGATGCAATATAGTAATGTTTAATGCTGATATTGTACTATGCTAATAATATAATATATTGTATGTAATATATACCTTGTAGGCCACTCTGAGTCCCCTTCAGGGTGAGAAGGGAGGCATATAAATGTCGTAAATACGTTTATTTTTTATTTATTTATTGTGTCAGTATCAACCAGACAATTGTATTACATTTTAAACAAATTTTTAACAAACAGACAAAACAGAGTTTGCAAGGTTGGTAGTTGATTAAATGTCCTTTGACCAGTATCTGGCCACTTGGAGTGCCTCTGGTGTTGCCGCAAGGAGGTCCTCCATTGTGCATGTGGCAGGGCTCAGGTTGCATTGCAGCAGGTGGTCAGTGGTTTGCTCTTCTCCACACTTGCATGTCGTGGATTCCACTTTGTAGCCCCATTTCTTGAGGTTGGCTCTGCATCTCGTGGTGCCAGAGCGCAGTCTGTTCAGTCGCCCATGTTGCCCAGTTTTCTGTGTGCCCAGGGGGAGTCTCTCATTTGGTATCAGCCATGGGTTGAGGTTCTGGGTTTGAGCCTGCCACTTTTGGACTCTCGCTTGCTGGGGTGTTCCAGCGAGTGTCTCTGTAGATCTTAGAAAACTATTTCTTGATTTAAGTCGTTGACGTGCTGGCTGATACCCAAACAAGGGATGAGCTGGAGATGTCTCTGCCTTGGTCCTTTCACTATTGGCTGCCACTTCTTGGCGGATGTCAGGTGGTGCAATACCGGCTAGACTGTGTAGTTTCTCCAGTGGTGTAGGGCGTAGACACCCTGTGATAATGCGGCATGTCTCATTAAGAGCCACATCCACTGTTTTAGCGTGGTGAGATGTGTTCCACACTGGGCATGCATACTCAGCAGCAGAGTAGCACAGAGCAAGGGCAGATGTCTTCACTGTGTCTGGTTGTGATCCCCAGGTTGTGCCAGTCAGCTTTCGTATGATATTGTTTCTAGCACCCACTTTTGCTTGATATTCAGGCAGTGCTTCTTGTAGGTCAGAGCATGGTCCAGAGTGACTCCCAGGTATTTGGGTGTGCTGCAATGCTCCAGTGGGATTCCTTCCCAGGTAATCCTCAGAGCTCGGGATGCTTGTCTGTTCTTGAGGTGAAAAGCACATGTCTGTGTTTTAGATGGATTAGGGATCAGCTGGTTTTCCCTGTAATAGGCAGTAAGGTTCGGAGAGCTTCTGTTCAATCATCTCAAAGCTCCCTGCTTGAGCAGTAATGGCACGATCATCAGCATAGATGAAGCTCTCTGTCCCTTCTGGCAGTGGCTGGTCATTTGTGTAGATGTTGAACATGGATGGAGCAAGCACGCTCCCCTGAGGCAGGCCGTTCTTCTGTTTCCGCCATCTGCTTCTCTGGCCCTGGAACTCAACAAAAAAGCTCCTGTTTTGTAGCAGGTTTCCTATGAGGCGGGTGAGGTGGTCGTCCTTTGTGATATTATACATTTTTCTCAGGAGGAGGCGGTGGTTCACAGTATCATAAGCTGCTGACAGGTCTATGAAGACAGCTCCTCGTAAATAAATAGTAGTTAAACTTTGGCCCTCCAGGTGTTTTGGACATCAGCTCCCACGATTCCTAACAGCATTTCTTCCCAATAGCTCTCAATCGGTTCTCCTTATGTTTCTTTCAGCGACGAGCCAGTGGCCGACATCGAAGGGCACACCGTGAGAGTGGCTCGGGTCACCTGGCATCCTTCCGGCCGATTTCTGGGAACCACCTGGTAAGGGATTTCTTCTTTTTCACCACCAGGGTCCATGGCTATGGATAGATGGGGAAAAGAACCCTCTGTGTGAAAATAAACCTCCATATCAGAGAATTCGCTTTCAGGCATGTTCCTGCGCTCCTCTAGTCCTCAGTATGAGAAATACATTGTTCATGTAGAGCAACTTTTTCAGCCGTGGAGCCCTTTTTAGGCAAAAGTTTCTCATAGAGCCCCAAGAAATGTTTATATATTATACTAGCTGTCCCCTGCCACACATTGCTGTGGCCCGGTCTGGTAATCTGGAAAATAAAGTAATGAGAAAGTGTTGGTTTCTAATATATGTAATTTCTTTATGCTTGTGGGTAAACAGTATTTCTTGTTGTTTCTTTGTCAGTGTTGATGTGGAGATTGTCTGGTTTGCCTACTCTGGAACATGCAACATATAATTGTCCTTCTTTAGGGGTCCCTTTCAAATCTATAATACTATATGTGTGTGTGTGAATCATATATATCTAACTATATCTATGGCTGGATGACTCTTTCTCAGGAGAGCTTTAATTACGTTTTCATGCCCTGGTGAAGTTGGAATGGATGGCCTTAAGTATTTTCTGTTGGTCATGGGAGGTTCTGTGTGGGAAGTCTGCTCCAATTCTGTCGTTGGTGGGGTTTAGAATGCTCTTTGATTGTAGGTGAACTATAAATCCCAGTAATGACAACTCCCAAATATCAAGGTCTATTTCTCCCAAACTTCATTTGTGTTCATATTTGGGCAAATGGAATATTTGTGCCAAGTTTGGCCCAGATCCATCATTGTTTGAGTCCAAAGTGCTCTCTGGATGTAGGTGAACTACAACTCCCAAACCCAAGGTCAATGTCCACCAAACCCTTTCAGCATTTTCTGTTGATCATGGGAGTCCTATCTGCCAAGATTGGTTCAATTCCATCATTGGTGGAGTTCAGAATGCTCTTTGATTGTAGGTGAACTATAAATCCCAGCAACTACAACTCCCAAATGACAAAATCAATTTTTTTGAGTGAAGAACATATATTGGGTTGTTAGGTGTCTTGTGTCCAAATTTGGTGTCAGTTCGTCCAGTGGTTTTGAGTTATGTTAATCCCACAAACGAACATTACATTTTTATTTATATAGATATGTGTGTGTATATATTTGTGTATATGTGTGTTTGCATATATATGTGTGGTTTTGCATGCGTTGTAATGTATTTTTTTTATTTTTTGGCTTTTTAAGTCTCTTCCGCTATGTTTTCCAGTGTTTTTATGAGCGACGGTCACTTGTTGGCCTGATAGGTTTCTTGTGTCCAAATTTGGTGTCAATTCACCCAATGGTTTTTGAGTTATGTTAATCCCACAAACGAACATTAAATTTTTATTTATATAGATTATATATTATTGTAAAAGTATTGGTTTCCCCTTGACAATAAGTCTAGTTGTATTTGTCTCTGGGGGTTGGTGCTCATCTCCATTTCTAAGCTGAAGAGCCGGTGTTGTCCATAGACACCTCCAAGGTCATGTGGCCTGCATGACTACACGAAGTGCCGTTACCTTCCTGCAAGAGTGATACATATTGATCTATTCACACTTGCATGTTTTCGAATTGCTAGGTTGGCAGAGGCTGGGGCTAACAGTGGGAGCTCTTCTCGCTCCCCAGATTCAAACCGCTGACCTTTTGGTCACCAAGTTCAGCAGCTCAGCAGTCGAACCCGCTGCGCCACTGGGAACTCCATTTATAATCTTTCTCGTTATTAAATAAGCACTGCGGTGATGTCCACCTTTTTGCTTTTGCGTCGGCAGCTATGACCATTCGTGGCGACTGTGGGACCTGGAGGCCCAGGAGGAGATTTTGCACCAGGAGGGACACAGCAAAGGCGTTTACGACATTGCCTTCCATGTCGACGGCTCCCTCGCGGGCACTGGGTACGTCTTGAGGTTTATGCACAGCATTATTGGGTTGTGGTAGGTTTTTCGGGCTATATGGCCATGTTCTGGTAGCATTCTCTCCTGACGTTTCGCCTGCATCTATGGCAGGCATCCTCACATTACTGTATTTACTCGTATTTGCTCCGACAGGATCATTGGAAGGCTGATGTATGTGTTTGATCTCTTTGTATTTATTTCAGTGGCCTTGACGCCTTTGGCCGGGTGTGGGACCTACGGACCGGGCGCTGTATCATGTTTTTGGAAGGCCATCTCAAGGAGATCTATGGAGTCAATTTTTCCCCAAATGGGTAAGACCCAACTGGACATGAGAGGATGAGATACAATAATATTGGAGGACCTGCACATCTATAGAGAAGTATTTTGGATCTTCCAGTCCAACACTATGGTAGATGTCACCCATATAAGGTCATCCTGGATAGCCAATAGCGGTGGTTCTCTACCTGTGGGCCCCTCAGGTGTTTTGGGCCACAACTCCCAGAAATACCAGCCATTTTACCAGCTAAAGGGAGTTGAATGCTGAAACATCTAGAGACCCACAGCCTGAGAACTATTGGCCTAGAGGTCCTTAGAGAGGAAATGTTAATGAAATGCATTGTAATATTGGCACATCTATGCGTATAATAAAAGTGAATATATATATGTGTGTGGCTGGAATGTCCACTTACACAGACAAGCTCCTGCCTCCACAAACAACTCTAGCTCCCACTACTCAGGAGGTACCAAAGGCTGAAGCTGAACTCTTATTTATCTATTTACGACATTTATATGCCGCCCTTCTCACCCCGAAGGGGACTCAGAGCGGCTTACAAGGTATATATACATACAATATATTATATTATTAGCATAGTACAATATCAGCACTAAATATTGCTATATTGCACCATATCATTATATTGTAATATTATTAGTAATATTACATGTAATATACTGTATATACTTGAGTATAAGCCTAGGTTTTCAGCCCTTTTTATACGCTGAAAATGTTCCCCTCGGCTTATACTCAAGTCAAGGTTATTTATTATTTTACTCTGTTATTATTATTTTTATTACATGTATTATTTTACTCTATTTATTATCATCATCATCATCATTATTATTATCATTTTACTCTATTATTACATTATTATTTTACTTTATTAATGTTATTATTACATGTATTATATTGCAATATTTATTATTATTACATTTATTATTTTACTCTATTATTACTGTTATTATTACATTTCCATTATTTTACTTGCTGAATTGAACCCTTTTTGTCTCTTAATATTTGCACTAAAATGTGCGATGCAAGGCCAGAAAGTTATTTTTGTTCTTTACAATATGTTCTGTCTACTTGATCTTTATGAAACAAATTATTATTATTATTATTATTATTATTATTATTATTATTATTACATTTATTATGTTACTCTCATTATTATTGGAAGGATACATAAGCACATTGAAGATGCTTAGAATCAGAGTTGGACAGTCTTATCTTAAATTACAGTGTTATGTAAACATTCAAAAACATTTAACCTTCTGATGCCTCATTTAATGTAATTTTATTGGTATCTGTTTTTAGTTTGAAATTTATCAGTCGCTGCTACATTTTCCACCCTCGGTTTATACTTGAGTCAATACGTTTTCCCAATTTTTGTGGTAAAATTAGGTGTCTTGGTTTATATTCGGGTCGGCTTATACTTGAGTATATACGGTAAATATATAATTATAATATCATATTATTAGTATTAGTATTATATTGCATTACATTATAATGTTATAAATATTATAAGCATATACAATATATTATATTATATTATAACTCTTCCTTCTCCTCTCTCACTGTAGGTACCACATTGCCACTGGCAGCGGTGACAACACTTGCAAAGTATGGGACCTCCGCCAGAGGCGATGTATCTATACCATCCCTGCCCATCAGAACCTGGTGACGGGGGTCAAGTTTGAACGTAAGTCTCAGCTCCAGGGTATCATGGTTAGCTTTGCTGTTTACATCCCTCTCAACTTTCCCTCTGAACTGGATAACCCCTGGGGTTGTATGGCCATGTTCCAGCAGCATTCTCTCCTGACATTTCGTCAGCATCTATGGCAGGCATCTTCAGAGGTCTGTTCAGGTCTCTGAACAAACCTCTGAGAATGCCTGCCATATATGCAGACGAAACGTCAGGAGAAAATGCTACTGGAACATGGCCATGCAGCCCAAAAAACTCACAGCAACCCTATAATAATTTTATTTATTTATTTATTTATTTATTTGCCACCTCTCCTTGTAGACCAAGATGGGTTACAGCATAATTTATTTATTGTGTCAGGAGCAAACCAAACAATTGTATTGCATTTTTAACAAACAAACAAAACAAAGTTTGCAAGCTTGGTAGTTGATTAAATGTCTTTTGACCAGTAGTTGGCCACTTGGAGTGCTTCTGGTGTTACTATAAGAAGGTCCACCATTGTGCATGTGGCAGGGCTCAGGTTGCATTGCAGCAGGTGGTCTGTAATTTGCTCTTCTCCACTTTGTGGTCCCATTTCTTAAGGTTGGCTCTGCATCTCGTGGTGCCAGAGCGGAGTCTGTTCAGCACCTTTCAAGTCGCCCAGTCTTCTGTGTGCCCAGGGGGGAGTCTCTCATTTGGTATCAGCCATTGATTGAGGTTCTGGGTTTGAGCCTGCTACTTTTGGACTCTCGCTTGCTGAGGCGTTCCAGCGAGTGTCTCTCTAGATCTTAGAAAACTATTTCTTGATTTAAGTCATTGACGTGCTGGCTGATACCCAAACAAAGGATGAGCTGGAGATGTCACTGCCTTGGTCCTTTCACTATTGGCTGCTACTTCCCGGCGGATGTCAGGTGGTGAAATACCGGCTAGACAGTGTAATTTCTCCAGTGGTGTAGGGCGCAGACACCCCGTGATAATGCGGCATGTCTCATTAAGAGCCACATCCACTGTTTTAGTGTGGTGAGATGTGTTCTACACTGGACATGCATACTCAGCAGCAGAGTAGCACAGCGCAAGGGCAGATGCCTTCACTGTGTCTGGTTGTGATCCCCAGGTTGTGCCAGTCAGCATAATTAAAACCCATAAACATTGTTTTCCCTGCACAAGGGCTTAGTCTGGAATGAGCACTTAAGAGCCATTGACTCTAACAAAGACCTGTTTCTTTGTTAGAGCCAAAACATGTTGACCTAGATCAGTACTGCAGCCTTTATTTATGTACTCTCCGTAGGGCTGTGACTGTTTGCCTGAAAGCCAACCTCATAAAATGATCTGCTGTCCCTTCCTCTTCGCTCATCCATTTCTCTCCTTTCGCCTTCTTGCTCTCCGTAGCCAATCATGGCAACTTCCTGCTCACTGGGGCCTACGACAACACGGCCAAGGTTTGGACACACCCGGGCTGGTCCCCTTTGAAGACCCTGGCGGGGCACGAAGGCAAAGTGATGGGTTTGGACATCTCTCTGGACGGGCAGCTGATTGCAACGTGTTCCTATGACCGAACCTTTAAGCTCTGGATGGCAGAATAAAGAGTGGGGTGTGTGTGGGATTTGTCTCAGACTGTCCTAACGGGCTATGACGCGAATCCGTCACTGGAGTGAAAAATGAGTTTCCAGAGCTTTCCCCTTGGAGCGTATCTCTATTTTTGTATGTTCCCATTTCGTCTCCAGCAATAGATGATTGTTGATACACACATACAGACACACAAAGACTTCCCCGCCTTGTATGAGTCCCAAACCCACCTTTGGAGAGATCTCAAGACGCCAACGGAAAGCAAACCCTCGAGTCATTTGGGTATTTGGGACAGAGAAACGTTTATTTTGTTGGTTTTGATATATTAAAGCAAATTGGCTGCTTGAACCACAGAGTGTCTGCTTTTGACCTTCCCAACGCTGTTTATTGTCCTGGTGAAAGGCCTTCTCCAAGGTGCAGAGGTGTTTAAGAATGCCATACATTGAGTATGTTGTCGAAGGCCTTCATGGCCGGAATCACTGGGTTGCTGGGAGTTTTCTGGGCTGTGTAACCATGTTTCGGAAGCATTCTTTCCTGACGTTTCACCCACCTCTATGGCAGGCATCCTCAGAGGTTGTGAGGTCAGTTGCAAGCTAGACAAATGGGGTTTATATACCTGTGGAATGATGTCCAGGGTGGGAGAAAGAACTCTTGTCTGTTGGAGGCAAGTATGAATGTTGCCATTGGCCGCCTTGATTAGCATTGAATGGCCTTACAGCTCCAAAGTCAAACAGTGAGGGTATCTGTATAGAGGTCTGTTGGAAAAGAGGCAAGTAGACTATATATACACCTCTGGAATGATGTCCAGGGTGGGAGAAAGAACTCTTGTCTGTTGGAGGCAAGTGTGAATGTTGCAATTGGCCACCTTGATTAGCATTGTATGGCCTTGCAGCTCCAAAGTCAATCAGTGAGGGTATCTGCATAGAGGTCTGTTGGAAATGAGGCAAGTAGACTATATATAGTCTACTATCTGGAATGATGTCCAGGGTGGGAGAAAGAACTCTTGTCTGTTGGAGACAAGTGTGAATGTTGCAATTGGCCACCTTGATTAGCATTGAATAGCCTTGCAGCTCCAAAGTCAATCAGTGAGGGTATCTGCATAGAGGTCTGTTGGAAATGAGGCAAGCAGACTATATATATATACCTCTGGAATGATGACCAGGGTGGGAGAAATAACTCTTGTCTGTTTGAGGTAAGTGCGAATGATGTAATTGATCGGCTAGATTAGCATTGAATGGCCTTGCAGCTTCAAAGCCTGGCTGGTTGCTATCCCGGGGGATATTTTGTTGGGAAGTGTTGGCTGGCCCTGATTGACACCAGAGCACCTGATGAACAAACCTGGACATAGCATATTATTTGAGAACATGGAAATGCTGGACCACTCTGACAACCACCATGTCAGGCTACATAGAGAAGCCACTGAGGATAAGTCTGGTTGGTTGCTCGAGGGGAATATCTTGGGAGGTGTTAGCTGGCCCCGACTGATACCAGAGCACCTGATGAACCAACCTGGACACAGCATATTATTGGAGAACATAGAAATACTGGACCACTCTCACAACCACCATGTCAGACTACACAGAGAAGCCATTGAAATCCACAAGCATGTGGATCATCTCAACAGAAAGGAGGAAACCATGAAAGTGAACAAAATCTGGTTACCAGTATTTAAAAATTAAAATCAGGATAGTAAATGAACAGCACATGGGGGAATCCTTTGTTGGGAGATGTTAGCTGGCCCTGATTGTTTCCATTGTGGGATTTTCTGAGTGTTGCTGTTTATTTACTGTTCTGATCTTATAGTTTTTTTGAAAAAAATACTGGTAGCCAGATTTTGTTCATTTTCATGGTTTCCTCCTTTTAAAGGCATTCCAGACATGAAACAATCAGGGCCAGGTGACACCTCCCAACAAAGGATTCCCCAAGGCAGAAAGCAACCAGTCTATGAAGCTGCGAACTTATTTAGTGCTAATCAAGGTGGCCAATTGCAACATTCACACTTGTCTCATGCAGACAAGAGTTCTTTCTCCCACAGATATCTAAACCTCACTTGCCTAGTTTCCAACAGAACCCTCAACCTCTGCTATGGATGTGGGCGAAATGTCAGGAGAGAATGCTTCTGGACAGTCCGGAAAACTCATAGCAACCCAATGATTCCGGCCGTGAAATCCTTTGTCATAGGATTTCCTATGTCATCATCCGCACAAAGGAATCCTTAAGTGGTCAGTGTAGATGTGCTTTTCGTTTCCCCATTCCAATCGGATCCGCTCTCATAGACACATCATGTAAAACGACAACAACACAATTCCCATTCTCACCCTGAACCGGTGAAGAAATGGTTGTTCCAGTAGATAAAGAAAATAAAAAGTGTGACGACGATCAAGATGAGGACCATCAAGTAGGAGAAAAGGCGAAGCTGTGGGTTGCGGGCACACGCCCGTAATGTCCGATGCTCAGGAAGGCTCGGGGTCACCGTTTGGGCTCTTTCGGCGTCCGAGGATTCCGTGCCCAGGTCCAAGGTGTAAACCCTTGGCTGGCGGAGGAAATACCGGCTCTTGCGTTGGTCCTTCAGGTACAGCTGCCTGCCTTCTAAGACAATCTGGTTGGGCTCCAGCCGAAGCCAACGCAAGACGGCTCCGTCGGTGGGCAGCGCGGTGACCGCTTGGTCGAGCGACAGCTGGGTGGGGTGGCGACATAGTGGGCATTGCAGGCAGTGTGGGTCCGACGCCACCAGGCTCAGGTGGGCCAGGCACTCGATGCAGAAGGTGTGTTGGCAGCAGAGGAGCTTGGGTGTCCGGAAGGCATTGTCGAAGGGGCTCCAGCAGATCGGGCACTCGGATGCCAACCCGGTGGCTTGTCTCTGAGCCATGCTTTGGATAGAAGGCGCTGTCTTTACACTGCCTGGAAAGAAACCAGGTTAGATTCAGAAGACTAGTAAACAAACCCACATGAGGTGCATCTACACAGGTATGGGCACACTTTGGTCCTCTGGGTCTTAGTAAACAAACCCTCATGAGGTGCATCTACACCAGGTATGGGCACACTTTGGTCCTCTGGATCCTAGTAAACAAATCCACACGAGGTGCATCTACACCAGGTACGGGCAAACTTTGGTCCTCTGGGTCCTAGTAAACAAACCCACACGAGGTGCATCTACACCAGGTACGGGCAAACTTTGGTCCTCTGGGTCCTAGTAAACAAACCCACATGAGGTGCATCTACACCAGGTATGGGCAAACTTTGGTCCTCTGGGTCCTAGTAAACAAACCCACATGAGGTGCATCTACACCAGGTATGGGCAAACTTTGGTCCTCTGGGTCCTAGTAAACAAACCCACATGAGGTGCATCTACACCAGGTATGGGCAAACTTATATTACCCCAGCCAGTAGGCTGTTAGGAATGGTGAGAGTTGAAGTCCAAAACATCCGGAGGGCCGAAGTTTGCCCATGCCTGATCTACAGTGTTGAATGAATGCGGTTTGATGCCACTTCGATTGCCGTGTTTTGTACCTTGATGCTAAAGAGTGCCTAGGACTGTAGTTTTACAACAGGGCGATGGTGCCTCCTATTATTCCTTAGTATTGAGCCATGACGGTCAAAGTGCTCTCGAACTGCATTCATTCTACACGATGAGATGGTATCACCACAGGCCTCTGGAAAAGAATAAAGGAAAGGACTTCCTCCAAGGACGTGACAAATGAGGCTGTGACACACAGCTTGTGTGTACACCTTAGTTTTATGGGATCACGGGGCAGGAGTCCCACCCTTTGACATTTCACATAGATACCCAAGACATAGGCTGCCAAAAGTGTGGTCAAAGTGGCAGGCAAACGGTGTTCGTAGAATCCTACGATAAAGGTGATAAAGGTGGTCCCAGTGGTGATCGGTAGACTGGGTGCAGTGCCTCAAGACCTTGGCCAGCACTTAAAAACAATCAGCGCTGACAAAATTATCACCTATCAGCTGCTCGGATCTGCACACGTTATTCGCCGATACATCACACAGTCCTAGACACTTGGGAAGGGTCTGACGTGTGATCCAATACAACAGCCAGCAGAGTGTCTGCTGTGAACTCATCTTGTTGTGTTTCAAATAATAATAATAATATAAATAGTAATTTTTATTTCTTGCCCGCCTCTCATCAAAGTTCGAGGTGTGTTTGCTTTGGCTCCTTACTAAGATTGCGTTATTACATGACTCTACTCTGCACCCTAATTTTGGAAATGTAATTTATCCCAGGTAATTGGGCTCCCTGGTGGTGCAGCGGATTAAACCGTTGAGCTGCTGAATTTGCTGACCAAAAGGTTGGCAGTCTGAATCTGGGGAGCAATTTTGGAAATGTAATTTATCCCAGGTAATTGGGCTCCCTGGTGGTGATTAAACCGCTGAGCTGCTGAACTTGCTGACCAAAAGGTTGGTGGTTAAAATCTGGGGAGCAAGATGAGCTCCCACTGTTAACCCTAGCTTCTGCTAACTTGGCAGTTTGAAAACATGCAAATGTGAGATCAATAGGTACTGCTTCCATGGGAAGGCAATGACGTTCCATGCAGTCATGCAGGGCACATGACCTTGGAGGTGTCTATGGACAACGGCGGCTCTTTGGCTTAGAAATGGAGATGAGCACCATTCCCCAAAGTCAGGCACAACTAGACTTAATGCCAAGGGGAAACCTTTATTTTTACTAAAGGTGAGTATTAGATTCAAGTAAATATGGTATGTGGGTCTCTCCAAGTTTTGGGGGGGAAAAAGGATTATATGGCTAAACGCCATCACACTTTTCCAGCTTTACAACCCACCCTGAAAGAGACAGAGTGTCAGAGCTTCATCCTACCTGCATCAGGTGTGGAGGAGACGACTCGGAGTGTGTGCAATACAGCCGAACGTGAGAGCGTTTGCTCTCCCGGGGTCGTTCTCAGGAGACTTTGTCCCTCGCTCGAGGCGCAGAGTTCTCTCTCCTTTGCGAGCTGGGTATTTACTGCCGCCCAAGGAAGCAAAGGCAACCAGGTGAAGCCAATCCTTCCCAGCTTTTATGATTATAATCATTGCTAGGAAAGTCACTGGTCTGTTATCTGATTTCGAAAGCTAACCAGGGTCAGGCCGGCCCAATACTTGGACGCACTTCTGTAGCTTCTTGGCAGAAAGCAACGTGGTAAGAGGTTAAGTAAAGCTTTCCCCTTGACATTAAGTCTAGTCGTGTCTGACTCTGGGACTCTGGTGCTCATCTCCATTTCTAAGCTGAAGAGCCGGCGTTGTCCAGAGACACCTCCAAGGTTATGTGGCCTGCATGACTGCATAGAGCACCGTTACCTTTGTGCCGTCGTGCCTGGGGGCTCTAGAGCTTAGTGAAAGAAACATGGACGTGGCATCTTTTCCCCAGGGGATTGCTTCTTCCTTTTTTTTTTTAATAAACAAACAGTTTATTGTTTTAAAAATACATAGAAGCTATATAGAAAAATCAGGTATAAGAAAGTAAGGTATGCAATCCAAAAGGGTCAACACTAGGTTGTGATAGCCATGTATAAATATGTGAGAGGAAGCCACAAGGAGGAGGGAGCAAGCTTGTTTTCTGCATCCTTGCAGACTAGGACGCAGAACAATGGCTTCAAACTACAAGAGAGGAGATTCCATCTGAACATTAGGAAGAATTTCCTGACTGTGAGAGCCGTTCAGCAGTGGAACTCTCTGCCCCGGAGTGTGGTGGAGGCTCCTTCTTTGGAAGCTTTTAAACAGAAGCTGGATGGCCATCTGTCAGGGGTGATTTGAATGCAATATTCCTGCTTCTTGGCAGAATGGGGTTGGACTGGATGGCCCATGAGGTCTCTTCCAGCTCTTTGATTCTATGATTCTATGATTCTAGGTGATAACCAAACAATACAATTCTCTCTTATAAAACCAAAGGTAAAAAAATAGTTTCAAAAATGCAAAGGCAGCTTAAGTCCACAAATAGAAGATATGTTTAGCAAAACCTAAACTGGAATACAAAACAAACTGGAATACAAAACATCCTTGAGAGTTCCAGTTCTCTAAAGGAGGGCAAGAAGCAATCCCCTGGGAAAACTCCCAGGATACTTAAATCTAAGACCAAGGCTTGAAACATGAACCATACCATTCAGGCCTAGCTTCTAACTTGAATGCTATGTTGCCTGAACTGAAGTCGGAGTGCCTGATAGCTCTTTTTAAAAAAAATTAATTGTATTCCAATATTTACAACCAGTTAAAAACTTGTATGGGGTAGTGGGTAGGACTTTAGGATAGCTCTTAGGGATCTAAGAAAAAGGAAGAAAGGGGGGGAAAAGGAAGAAAAAAGAAAAGGGAAAAAGAAAGAGAGAGAAAAATAAATAAATAAAGTAAATTCTAAGGGGTTTAGGGGCATGCAGGGATAGTTTAGGGTAAATAGGGAAAGTGAATTTGTTAAGGGGGGAAATTCTTGACTTCCGAATCTCCTTTCCCGTGTCATGTTGTTATCATCTTGAAGATGGTTCTCGTCATCATTCTAGTCACATGGCTTCTCCCTTCTAGTATTTAGATATGTCTGTATATATACCTCTCCTTTCTTCTTTCGTTTGCTTTGGCATTCATTGTGTTTCTTTTTCCTTTCCTGGTAATTTAGCATAAAGATGTCCATTGTGTTCCAATCTGTCCTCGTGAGCGGTCTTCCTTGTGGATCTTTTAAAGCATAAGTCAAAGTGTCCATTTCTTTTATGTCGTTGACTTTATTTAACCATTCATCTTTTGTCGGTATTTCATCTGTTTTCCATTTTTTGGCCAAAGTCATAGCCGCTGTGGTGAGGTAAGTGAATAGTATGTCTTTTTTGGCATCGAGTTCAATCTGTTCATCAAATATACCCAATAGGAAATATTCCGGTTTCATTTTTATACTTGTGTGCAGTATTTTCTCACAGCTGTCGTGTATTGTTTTCCAATAGGTTTTTATTCTGGGGCAGGTCCACCATAGATGGTAGAAGGTTCCTATCTGATCTGCACACTTCCAGCATTTGTTGCTAGATCTTTTGTACATGAGGCCCAATTTCTGTGGCGTCATGTACCACCTATAAAGCATCTTATACCAGTTTTCCCTCAAATCTATAGAGTATGTATATTTGATTTTTTTTTTTACCAGATCTGTTCCCACTCTTTGAATTTTATTGGCCTACCGATGTTTTTCACCCATTTAATCATACATTCTTTTATAGCTTCAGTCTCCATTCGAGTAGTTTATTGTATATACAGGTTATGTTCTTCTTGTCTTTTTGTAATAGCTTCTCCCAAAAGTCCTTTTTTGTTTGGAAGCCTAATTCCTCATCGATTTTAAAGTATTCTTTTAACTGGAAGTATTGTAGCCAAGTAAAGGATTTGGTTTCCTCGGCTATCTCTTCTTTTAGCTTCAGGAGTATTTTACCATCTTTCTTTGTTGTTATGCCCCAGGGGATTGCTTCTTGCTCTCCTTTAGAGAACTGGAACTCTCAAGGATCAAGACACTATAGATAACTCGAAATAGGCTTTATTGTTCACAATGAGTTATCTTTCTTAGGCATAAACTTGATGTTCCAAAAGGGGTAAAGAAAATATATGGAGTCTTGGGTCCAAGGAGTTTTCCAACTGAGAAGCTTTCCAGGTTCCCTCTTTCTCAATGGCTGTGAAAGTTGGAACATTCACAACCCCAGTCCAATGACCTATATTGAAGGCACAAAGTCTTCCTTTCGATGCCAAAGGACTGGTTTGAAGGCACTTAAGATTCTGCAACGTCGTCCAGGGTGAACTGGGCATGAGGTATGAATCTTAAGAGTACAAACTTAAGAATTGGTGATGAGAGATGACTTGACGGAGGGCTTTAGAGCCAAGCCTTTCTCAAGTCTATCTGCTGAGTTG